GAATCATATGTCTCATTGACATTTAATCGAACACGTTGTGTGCATTGGGAAATTCCTTCACTTTGTTTTTAATTTACACTTAGGGCTTGTCCACAATCAATGATGTGAATAATGATAAGTGTGTTGGAGATTGATTGTATGTGAAGGTAGATTAGGGGGGGGGAAATTGGGGTGTTCGTGTGAGAGTGATTTGGGGGTGGAACAAAGGAAAAAAAATGGGTTGTTTAGCAAGTGACGGGTTAATAACCCGTCAATTATACACCTTACGACACCATGTGACCGCATGGTGTAGGAAGTTTGGGGGATTAGATTTTCGATTATGGACCCCTTGTCCATGCGGCCGCATGGACCAAGCCAAATTTTATTTTTTTTAAACTAAAGCAAACTTACAATTATACCCCAAACACACCTTTGAAATTTAAAAATCCCTCGAAATTGATTTTCAATTTCAAAATTGACTTGACTCTACATATTTCGAAAATTATTATATATTTTTTTTAAATCTCGAAAAATAAAACGAACGACGTTGAACCACAAAATTCATTATTTCATACTCAAACACCCAAAATACTTTCTTTAACCCCGACTCATGCAACTATAACGTGTAGTGCCTAGACTATCATGCGTGAATGATCGATGACCTAATAAAACATACGAAATGTAAACAAATTCCTAAACAAATGCAATAAAATAAATTGAAGGATACAATGGGTTGCCTCCCACCCAACGCTAGTTTATAGTCGATAGCTCGACTTTCCTGTATCTTCTTCACGTTGGGTTGTTGAGTTGCACAGTGGACTTCTGCTTAGAGAAATTACAGCCCCAATAATGTTTCAGTCTTTGCCCATTAACGATGAAAGTGCCTTTGGTCTCGTGACTCACTTCAATAGCCCCATATTGCATCACATTAGTTATGGTATAGGGACCTGACCACCTTGTTCTTAGCTTTCCTGGGAAGAGTTTGAGTCTAGAATTGTACAATAACACTTTCTGCCCAATTTCAGACTCTCGCCTCTGAATGTTTAAATCATGCCATCTCTTGGTGCGCTCTTTGATCAATTTTGAGTTCTCGTAAACTTCCATTCTCATCTCATCCAATTCATTAAGTTGCAGCAGTCATTTTTCACCAGCAGCTTTGAGATCCATATTCAACTGTTTCATAGCCCAATATGCTCGATGCTCCAACTCCAATGGTAGATGACACGCTTTCCCAAAAACCAGGCGGTATGGAGACATTCCTATTGGTGTCTTAAACGGTGTTCTGTATGCCCACAGTGCATCGTCCAACTTCTTAGACCAATCTTTTCGGGATGAGTTCACTGTAACTTCCAGTATTCTCTTTAACTGCCTGTTCGAAATTTCAACTTGCCCATTGGTTTGTGGATGATATGGAGTTGCTACTTTATGTTTTACCCCATATTTGTTCAACAGCTGCTCTAATTGACGATTTATGAAGTGTTTGCCCCCATCACTTATTATTGCCCTCGGTGTGCCATATCTTGTAAATATGTACTTCTTCAAGAACTCTATCACCACTTTCGCGTCATTAGTAGGCAATGCAATAGCTTCCACCCACTTAGAAACATAGTCAACGGCCACCAGGATATATTGATTTGAGTACAATGGGGAAAAATGTCCCATGAAGTCTATTCCCCATACATCAAATATTTCAACCTTCAAGATGTAATTTAGTGGAATCTCATTTCTTCTTGAGATATTTCCAGTTCGTTGACATTTATCGCATCTCTTCACATACTCGAACTTGTCTCTGAATAAAGTAGGCCAATAGAAACCCGACTGTAGTATCTTTGCAGCCATCTTTGAAGCTCCAAAATGCCCAGCAGATGCAGAAGAGTGACAATGTTCTAGAATCTCAGGTACCTCATCTTTAGGAATACATTCTCTGATTATCTGATCTGTGCCTCTTCTGTACAGAATGGGTTCCTCCCAAAAGTAATACTTCAGCTTTGCGAAGAACTTCTTTTTTTGATGGCTAGAATACTCTGGTGGCGAGATGGACTTAACAAGGTAATTAACAATATCAGCGTACCATGAGACTATTTCTACTCCAAAAATTTGCTCATCTGGAAAGATTTCATTGATGTCTACTGACATCTCAGGTTCATTCCGTTCCAATCTTGATACGTGGTCAGCTACCACATTTTCACTGTCCTTCTTATCCTTGATCTCAATATCGAACTCTTGCAACAACAATATCCAACGGATCAATCTCGGCTTAGCATCCTTCTTTGTCATAAGATACTTCAGAGCGGCATGATCTGTGTAGACAATGACCTTAGACCCAACAAGATACAATCTGAACTTGTCGAATGCATAAACCACAGCTAACAATTCCTTCTCAGTCGTCACATAGTTGATTTGGGCATCGTTCAAAGTTCTACTTGCATAGTATATCACATGAAAGATTTTATTCTTTCTTTATCTCAATACCACACCAACTGCATGATCATTCGCATCACACATTAGCTCAAAGGGCAAATCCCAATCAGGTGACATAATCACATGTGCTGTTGTGAGTTTTTCCTTCAAAGTATTGAACGCTATCAAACATTCCTCATCAAACTCAAAAGATACCTCTTTCATTAGCAAGTTGCACAGAGGCTTGGTGATTTTGGAGAAGTCCTTTATAAACCTCCTGTAAAACCCTGTATGCCCAAGGAAACTTCGAACTCCTTTTACTGATGTAGGTGGTGGTAATTTCTCAATAACCTGAATTTTCGCCTTATCCACCTCTATTCCCTTTGCCGATACTCTATGTCCCAAGACTATTCACTCTTGAACCATGAAATGACATTTCTCCCAGTTCAATACTAAGTTCGTTTCTCTGCATCTTTGCAAAACCAGATTTAAGTGATCCAAACACTCATCAAATGAGGTCCCAAAGACCGAGAAGTCATCCATAAAGATTTCAATGAATTTCTCCACTATATCTGAGAAAATTGCCATCATGCATTGCTGAAATGTGGCAGGAGCATTGCAAAGTCCAAATGGCATTCTTCGGTATGCGAAGGTACCATAGGGGCATGTGAAGGTGGTCTTCTCCTGATCATCCGGTGCCACTGGTATCTAATTATAACATGAATACCCATCCAGAAAATAGTAATGGGAATGGCCTGCCAATCTCTCCAATATATGATCTATAAACGGAAGAGGGAAGTGATCTTTCCTTGTAGCGGTATTTAGTTTGCGATAATCAATGCAAACTCTCCACCCCGTTACCGTCCTTGTCAGAATCAACTCATTCTTTTCATTTTGAACTACTGTAATTCCTCCTTTCTTGGGCACAACTTGCACTGGACTAGTCCATTTACTATCTGATATCGGGTAGATTATTCTAGCATCTAGAAGTTTTATCACCTCAGCTCTTACTACCTCCTTCATGTTTGGGTTTAGCCTCATTTGACTTTCAACTGTTGGTCGAAAATTCTCCTCCATGAGAATTTTATGCATACATAAGGAAGGGCTGATCCCTTTGATATCAGCTATGGTCCACCCAATTGCTTGATTGTTATCTCGAAGCACCCTAAGCAGTTTTTCTTCCTCCACTTCACTAACCATGTTTGAAATTATCACTGAAAGTGTATTGGACTCCCCCAAATATGCATATCTTAAGTGTGGGAGCAGCTACTTAAGTTCCAACTTTGGTGGCTTCAGAATAGATGGCTGTGATTTCTCTGGCCCTGTCCCAAGCTCCTCAAAGTATCGTTTTCGCGTGTAAGGTGGGTTGGACTCCAAAAATCTTGCACACATTTCTATGTCCACAGAATCAGAATTTGTGGATTTAGAATGTGCAATGCAGGCCTCCAATGCATCTGATGGATTTTGCAGTGTAAATGACTCTTCAATCATTTTATCAATCATGTCAACCTTGAAACATCTGTCAGTCTCTATTGGCAGTTTCATGGCCTTGAAGACATTGAATGAAACCTGTTCTTCTCCCAATCTTAGTATCAACTGCCCATTCTGAATGTCGATCAAAGCTCTGCATGTGGCCAAGAATGGTCTGCCGAGTATTAAAGGAACATCTTTATCTTCTTCCATATCCAGAATCAGAAAGTTTGCTGGGAATATGAACTTCTCCACTTTAACTAATACGTCTTCAATTATTCCTCGTGGATGTGTCAATGATCTGTCAGCCAACTGTAAGGTCACCGTGGTAGCTTTAACTTCTCCCAATCCTAATTTCCTGAAACAGACAATGGCATTAAGTTAATACTTGCACCAAAATCACATAAAGCTTTATCAAAATAAAATTCACCAATGGTACAAGGGACAGTGAAACTCCCTGGATCTTTCAATTTTGACGGGAGCTTTCTCTGAATCCTGACACTGCACTCCTTTGTTAGCATAACTGTCTCATGATCTCCTAGCTTCCTTTTGTTTGATAGGATGTCTTTCAGGAATTTTGCATAGCTAGGCATCTGGACCAGTGCTTCAGCGAATGGGATGTTGATATGGAGCTTCTTGAAGACTTCGAGAAACTTTTTGTATTGATGTTCCATCTTTTGCTTCTTCAGCCTCTGTGGGAACGGTATGGGTGGCTCATAGGGGTTCACAGCTACAGTTTCTTTATCCCTTGAGTTTCCTTTATTTGCTCTCGGTGTTGGCTCTTCTGTATGTTCTTCTTGCTCCAAAATCTCTTCTACTTCAGGAGAGATCTCTTCTCTGTTTGTCACGGGATTATTCACTTGTCTCTCAGGTAATTCCACTCCACTTCTCGTTGTTATAGCCTTTGCATGCTCTTTCGGATTAACTTCTGTGTTACTTGGCAGGCTGCCTAGTGCTCTACCTGTTAATGCAACTGCCATCTGTCCCATCTGAGTTTCCAAATTCTTAATAGCTGTATTCTGGTCTTGAAGAGTGGCTTCTATCTTTTTCATGAATTTGTTGTTCGCCTCCATATATTGGTTGGTCTGTTCCACGAATTTACCGAACATTTCTTCCAATTGAGGCTTCTTCTCTTGCTGTTGATATTGCCCCTATGGCCTGTTCTGATTTTGGTTACTCCAAGAAAAGTTGGGGTGCTTTTTCCAGCTTGGGTTGAAGGTCTCTCCATACACGTTATTCTGCTGGCGTTGTCCCCATTGAGCAAAATCTGCTTGCTCTTTTCCTTGTGTCAAAATTGGGCATTCTGCTGTCACATGCTCAGCTCCACATTCCTCACAATTTGCCTTCTTTGTCTGCGCTACGTTAGCTGACTGGGTGATGTTTTCCACCTTGTGAAATAAGGAATCAATCTTAGCAAATAATGCTGAATATACATCCACTTCATAAACTCCTGGTGTTTTCTTTGGTACTGCTCATTCCCACATTGCTGAGGTTGTAGCCATTGTCTCATATAACTTCAATGCTTCATCAATTGTTTTTGTGGACAATGACCCATTTGCTGAAGAGTCGGCCATGCTCTTGAAAGCTAGAAGTAGCCCGGTATAGAAATATTGGACCTGAAGTCCCTTGCTTATCTCGTGGTGTGGACACTTTCTTAGTAGATTTTTGAATCTGTTCTAAGCCTCATCAAAATTCTCAGATTCACCTTGCCTGAAGATAGATATGTCGTGCTTTAGCTTTGCTATCTTGGCCGGTGGGAAGAACTTAGTACAGAACTTCTGAGCTAGGTCATTCCAGGTAGTAATGCTGGCTATCGGCTGAAAATCAAGCCATTCAATCGCTTTGTCCCGCAAAGTATGTGGAAACAGTCTTAATCTTATGGCGTCGTCAAAGATTCCTTGATATCTGAAGTGCTGGCACATTTCTAAGAAGTGTGAGATGTGCGTGTGTGGATTCTCTTCAATTCTTCCATAAAACTGATGTCCGTTCTGGAACAATTGTATCACATTTGTCTTCAACTGAAAATTTGGCTGCCCGAACGGTGGATATACAATGCTGGATTGGCTTTGAATGATTTGAGGGGTCATGAACTCTCCAACGAGCATGTTTCCTTCGTCTTCTTCCCCTCTTTCATTGGCTTGTACAACAGGATTGTGTTGTACGTTCTCATCTGATTTCTCGCTGCTCTGTTTTCTCTCTGCCTTCTTCTAAAGCTTCATTCGATCACTAGGTCGGCTGGAAGTAGATCTCCTTCAGCAGATCTTGACATGCACTTCTGCAATAGAATTCAATTTAAAGACTTAAGTAACTAAAATATGCACTTATGTAATAAAACTAACTACCAATAAAATGAACTAAAATAAATTAAAAATAAAAGTTCGAATTAGTGCTAATTGAATAAAATTAAACGAATACTCAATCCCCGGCAACGACGCCAAAAACTTGTTCACGAAATAATTCTTTCGATTTAAAACTACCGTAAGTGTACGGTTCATAACAAGTAATAAAGTGGATTTTTAAAAGTCCGAATATCGTCCCTCAGAGATTGAGTAGTTCAATTCTATATAATCTAGCCTTAACCGAATCTAATTGAGTGATAATATGGTCTAAATGCAAAAAACCCTAATTTCAATTAAAAACCCTAATTTCTATTAAAAACCCTAATTTCTCAATTAGAAACCCTAATTTCGAAATTTCTCTAATTAAACGACTCAAATACTCAAGTAAATGAAATTATGCAAATTCAAAAGTTAATTTAGGGAAATGAATCAAACTAAAGTCACTAGGGTCACGAATCCCCAATTGAAGTTATAAAAACCCTAATTTCATAAAATTAATGACCCGATGGAAATTTGCCAATTCAATGTTCCTAATTCTATCCAATATATTCTCTCAATATATATTAGACCTATTCTTGCACACCACCAGCCTATATCTCTATGGATGATGCAAATATACAAGAATGCATGTAGTTTTGTGAACAATTAAAGAATTACATACAGCATAGAGATATATCTCTATCCCCTATCGGACCCTATGTTAATTTACACGTTATCGAACCTATTCCACTTCTCTCGAATGTAAGAAATAAGTCATCAACACTCACACAATCATTGGCCACTAATTGCGAAAGAAAATTAATGCATGTAAACCAATCAAATTATCCAAACGAGTCTTTATATTAAATTCATGAAATATGGAATTAAAATAACAAACAACGATTCATCGATCACCTGGTAATTGAAAACCTAGCCTAGAATATTCATAATTACAAAAAAAAAATGAAATTAATAAATAGAAGGAATAGCACCCGTATGAAAATTCTTGAAATCTTGAATAAAACCTTGAAAATCCGTTTGAATTCTTGTGAAATCGGCTTCAAGTTCGTGTTCCTTGCCTCCAAAAGTTGCATTTTTCTTCTCCCTAGAAGTTCTGCCCTATTTTTGATGAATTTTGGCTTTTATATCATGTCCTCGCGAAGCCCCGAAAGAATTTCAATTTAAAACGGAAGTTCAGAATTTTCGTCAAATTTTCAAGCCATGCAGCCGCATAGTTCAAATTTTCTGCTCAACAAAATCCCTGCCTCCTCATGTGCGGCTGCATGGTATAGTTACATGCGGCCGCAAGGTTGTAACTTTACAACCTTGCTATCTTGGTCCCTGAACTCCGTTTTCTCTTTTCTTGATCTCCTTTGTTCCATTATCAAATATTGACTCCTAATTGATATTTGGATCAATCAATTCCTTGATCACTTGCTCCGCTCATCTTTTGATTAATTGCAATTTAGTCCTTCATCTTTCACTTTTCTTCAATTCAGTCCAATGTTATTTCTTTCTTCCTCCGATCGTCTTGTATCGTCCTCAATCTCATACTTGATATATTTTCATTCTAGTTCTACACTTTAGCTCAACTTTCCAATATTTGGACCTTTGGTCCCCGAACTATCGCTTTGTTTCGTTTTGGTCCTTTTTTAGCTCTTTTCTTCTGAATTCCATCTTTTCCATAGAAATACCTACATTGCATGAATTTAACGAGATTAAGTCACAATTCAACTACTTTATCCATGTTTAAGTCATGTTTGTGAGCTAAATAAGTGTGTAAAAACACACTTATCAGGCTTCATCCCCGTTTTACATCCGGCATGAGAATTAGTTTTTAGACTTGAAAAAAATGCAATTGGAATTCAGATGGCTAAAGAGAGAGAGAGAGAGCCCTTTACCTATGTCACATCCGGGGGTATTTATAGATATTGAGAGCTGGATAATCGCTGGGCGGTTGTGGTGCCACGTGTCCCACGTTGGCATTCCCACTACCCCCACATTCTGAGTGGGGGGTCTTTAACTTTCCGCCTGGAGGTTGTTCCCGTATTAACTGCCATGGAACCTAGTCGATTCACTAGAGGTTTTATGGCTAAGTGTTTGGATAGGCAATTTCATGCTCGTTGAAGACTTCGCGTAGAGGTAGAGTGATCTCTAGGGATAGTGGATAGAGCGTCCCCTGGGGGTTGTGGTAGAGCGCCCATGGGGGGTCGACGATCTCGCATAGTGGTAGAGCGCCCCTAGGGATTGTAGTAGAGATCCCTGGGGGGGTCGACGGCCTCATGTAGTGGTAGAGCGCCCCCTAAAATTTGTAGTAGAGCGCCCCTGGGAGGGGTAGACAGCATCGCGTAGTGGTAGAGCACCCCCTGGAGTTTGTGGTAGAGCGCCATCTCGTAGTGGTAGAGCACCCTTTGGGGGTTGTGGTAGAGCGCCCCTTGGGGGGTTGACGGCCTCGCGTAGTAGTAGAACACCCCCTGGGGTTGTGGTAGAGCACCCCTGGGGGGTCAACGGTCTCGCGTAGTGGTAGAGCGCCCCCTAAGGGTTGTGGTAGAGCTCCCCCTGAGTGGTCGACGACCTCGCGTAGTGGTAGAGCGCCCCTGGGAGTCGATAGCCGTGCATGGTGGTCGAGCACCACTTGGGGATAGCGGTAGAGCACCCCTTAAGTGTCGATGACCTTGCATCAAAGTGCAATGATCCATCTTATTTGTCATCGAGGGTGGCTTCCTCAGTAATAAATTCAATTATTAAGGCTAAAGCTCATTCATCCTCGTGGCCATACAGGCGTTCAATGAGAGAAAATCAACAATGAGAAAGTTGCGTCTTTGGCATATGCTTGATGAACAAATGGCCCTTTTGCCCATTTCCAGAATTCAAGTTTGATGAACAAAGACAAGCGCTGTAGGCCAATTCTGTTTAACTCATAAGGATCGGGATCAGGTATTGTAACATGTAGTACATTAGGAATTGCTAATATTAGAAATCTTGCACTACACAATCTTGCTAATATTAGAAATCTTGCACTAAGACACACTCAATAAATTTATCAATCTTTTGCATCACCAAGAAGATGGAGAAAACAAACTACTACTACTGATTCCAGCCATAGCCATGCCACAAGCTGCATCATCAAGAAGATGTGCTAGCTCTGGGATAGCCAGCATTGGCAAGACTACCTGTACTTAACTCGGTTGAGTCCACATGAGTTTCTAGTAGCCATTTTATAATATCCTTAAGTTGTACCTCAGTTGGAGTGACACCAAGCAACCTGTTGGGTTTTTGATACCCAATAAATCCCGGGCTATGATGTTAACGTGGGTTAATATTATTTCATAGGCATAGGCTGATGAATGAAATAAGTCCAACAACCAAGTCCATGAGCTACACCCGGCCCAATTGTATTCCTTATGGATGGCTTGAATCTTGGCCCGTTTACCCCTTTAATGGCCCAACTTAAAGCATAACCCTAGAGTATATATATGAATATAACCCTAGCCTCTTTGATATGATGATTGTGTGATTTTGAAAGAAGAAACTAGTGAATCCCGGCTGCCCCCCTTTTATGTGAGAAAAAGGTGTCCAGAAGTGTCCAGAACGCTTGTATAACGTGTGCAATTGGTGGTTCTTTCATAATATACCTTTGTGGTGTCTTCTCTTAACCTTTGTAGCGATAAATCATCATCCCTTCTTGTCCTACGTGGATAAGATTGTATAGCAACCAAGGTGAATCAATTGGTTGTGGTTTGGAGCCGTTTGGACTGGTTGTTGGTAGAGAAAGGTACGTTGAACTGAGCCTGGAAAACCACCGTTTGAAGATCCTTTTGAGAGAGCTTCCGAAACAATTGGTATCATAGCTTCAAGGTGAAGGTTTTGGCTCGTGAAATCTACCAGAAATCCTCCAGAAAATAGGCAGAAACACAGCAAAAATCAGATCGAAGAAGCTGTCCAAAAACTGTTTAAATCAGTCTCCGTTTTTCGCGTTTTCTGATCAATCCAGAAGAAGTTTGGGGAAACGGAGACCACTGCCGCGACGTACATGAGGAGGGGAACCCTTCAGGCCGGCGCGTGTTGGACGACGGCCGCGCGTGTGGAGGCACGTGAGGACCACGTACAGAGGCTTCTACAGGAGCGTGCGGGCGCGTGGACCATTTTTTGGCGATGGTCCCTTCAGGCAATTTGTTCCTCATATTATTTCTGACATTTTTCGTGTTGGAAGTTTTCTGTTTTAGGGTACACAGTAGAAACTGGACAGCATTTTTCTTCGGGCGTTCGGGACTTGATCGTGATTTTTGGTTGCTGCAGTTTCCAGAGACTTTAGGACAAATAGTGATAGTCCTAAAGTGGTGTATTTGCGTCTCTCGATATTTACAGACCTTCAGACGTGGTCCGCTCGGTATCGTGTTCTTTGTTTTTATTATTGCAGTTGAAATAAATGTGTAGAGTAATTTATTTTTTGCATTAGATGTCATCGTGTGGGGTGACATTAGGTTTGGGGTTAACATGAAGGGGTAACCATTGCCTGTTGCTAAACCTATGAATTATTTGCCTTAAATTCTTTGTGAATTTGTTGTCAATTTTTCTACATTATTAGAATTGCATGTGGCCTTAGGAAAATTACCCGGACTATTCTATGTGAATTATGTTCATACTTTACTTGTGGTCATTATTTGGCATTATTGGCAAATGTGGGTCTAAGGTAAATGCAAAAATAACATATATTTTAACTGTGGTGAAATTTGGACATAGTTGAAAGAGATTGTCCTAGGATGATAATAAAAGGAAAGATGAGGATAGAGACAAAGCGAATGTGACTTTAGGGTCAAATAGTGATCATAGTGAGGTTTATTGAGAGAATAAACCTGGTTCTTGCATTGCATCTATGTGTAATCTTTTCTGCATGTATGTGGTCACTTAATTCTGTTGCGATGTTGATTTTACACTTTCAATATGTTTGATATGTGTAATTGCATGAATTAGAGTGACTTATTACTTTGTGTAATATGTTTACATGCATAGTGGGTTAAGTTTTGTGGCATACTCTATTTGCTCTGTGAGTGGTGTGAGAGTGTGGTAGTGAGAAGAAAGTTGGGCAGCCGTTTCTCTCCTTTATCTTTGTGAGCCTGTGTGGTTTGTGAGATTATGTGAGGCAGCCATGTTAGGGTTATATTTTTCCTCTTTGTGAGCCTCCTTTGTGAGTGTTGTGAAGTAACCGACTCTTTCTTCGATTCTCTTTGAGAGTGCCACCTTCACTATTTTCTTTGTGAATTTTTTGGGAGCATTGGTGAGTGGATTAACCTTTGTGATCATCGAAAGGTGTTGTATTGCCATAGTGAGTTTGAGATGCATTAGCAGTGAGTTGGATGTCTTTTAGTAAGGTGGAGTATAGATGCCTAGAGGTGCATTGATGATATGCACGAGGGATGTAGAGTGTGACATTTGGATCACGAGTGGAGATGTGATCAAATGTCTAGGATCCTTTATCTGGAAAGAGACCCTGATCAGGTGGAGTGTGAGAGAGACACTTCTATCACTTTTGTTAGGTGGAGACCCATTATCCACGTAGGTTGGGAGAAGTGATGTGGAGATAGAGGATTATCCCGTAGACTTAGGATCTATTGTGACTCACCAGTTAGAAATGAGTTGAGTGATCTGTCTAGTGAGCGTGGTGGGCGATGAGAGGAGATATGTGTTCTCGAGGTGTAAGCAACACGGAATGGGATAGGATAAATGTGGTGGGACCTTTTCTTAGGGTCAGTTATGCATGTGTTGCATATGTGGTTGACCGTGGTTTGATTGACTTGGTGTTAATCTATGGTTCTATGTGAACATGTTTCTGAAAAGATCTGTGTGTATTATCCTATAGTATATCGTCGTCGCATGTGTATTTGCTCTTGATTGTTTATTGTTAAATATTTGCTTCTACTTGGGTGTTTTTTACCTTAGCCCCAGTAAGTACATGGAGTAGGTATGGTATATGTTTCAAGTTGGAAACACGAGGTAAGGTCTGTGATCCAATTTTATTGGCTACCTTGATTATGCAAGTGTTAACTGTGTGTTTTGATTGTTTGCAGATTTATTGGGGATCAAGGTGGAGATTTGTTGGGTTTTTGATACCCAATAAATCCCGGGCTATGATGTTAACGTGGGTTAATATTATTTCATAGGCATAGGCCGATGAATGAAATAAGTCCAACAACCAAGTCCATGAGCTACACCCGGCCCAATTGTATTCCTTATGGATGGCTTGAATCTTGGCCCGTTTACCCCTTTAATGGCCCAACTTAAAGCCTAATCCTAGAGTATATATATGAATATAACCCTAGCCTCTTTGATATGATGATTGTGTGATTTTAAAAGAAGAAACTAGTGAATCCCGACTGCCCCCCTTTTGTGTGAGAAAAAGGTGTCCAGAAGTGTCCAGAACGCTTGTATAACGTGTGCAATTGGTGGTTCTTTCATAGTATACCTTTGTGGTGTCTTCTCTTAACCTTTGTGGCGATAAATCATCATCCCTTCTTATCCTACGTGGATAAGATTGTATAGCAACCAAGGTGAATCAATTGGTTGTGGTTTGGAGCCGTTTGGACTGGTTGTTGGTAGAGAAAGGTACGTTGGACTGAGCCTGGAAAACCACCATTTGAAGATCCTTTTGAGAGAGCTTCCGCAACACAACCAATATTTCCCACCATAATATAATGCAGCACCGTCACACTTTACAAGATTAATGATACTAGGAGACTGAGTCACAATGCCCAAAGGAATATCCCAGAGAAGCATATCACATAATAGGATTTGTGTCCAGAGAATTTTCTTCTCTTCTTCTAGTGATGCCAATTGGAGCTCTATATAAAGTTGCAGCCCAAATACTTGCATTATGTGTAATTATGTGTTCGATTATATGATTATTATGGAAAATTCTTTTTACTATGATACATATGGAATTTCAAAGGTTTTATATTGTACATTTGTGATTTAGAATGTGAGACACATGTGATATTGAGACTGACAAGAAAAGTACTCATGATTATATACTTCTTCTACTTCATTGAGAGACCTTAGCCATATTCTAAATTATAGAGTTTGCCAATATGACTCATTTCATAGAGCATGTAGTTAGTGTTTTAGAGCACATGCTCATTTTTTGATGTGATTCTGCATCACGTGTAGATAGTTATGGGGCTCACTATATCTTTTGTATTCATATGAACATTTCGTGTTATTTTCATGGTAAAAGTTGAAATTTCGACTTATCTTTATTGTGTTGTGCTATTTTTGCGGTTTGTGTATAGTGAGTTATAGATCAGTTAGTCCTAATTCTAGGGGAGATAATGTTGAAATTCTGTTAAAATAATTCATAAAAGGGTGCATATTGTAATAACCTTGATGGTGGGTCCAACTTTGGGTTGGTATCTATCATCGACGTACATCACATTCCGGGTCCACTAGCGTTACTCGGAGTGGGGCGTGTCAAGCTTCTTCAGAAAGTTAGGCCAACTCCCTCTAAAACCACTTCTAACAAAACAAAGAATTTCTAAAAAATTATTTAAACATATTCGAAAGCAACTTCTTAGTTTTAGAAGCCGCTACTGGGTTTTCAAAAGCCTTTGGTAAACGAGCCATAAAATTTGATTTGTCACGTTTTGTCTAGTCGTATCTCCAATCTTAACTTAGTGCATGTATGGAGTGCTATATAGCTCAAAGACAGGATATTATAATAAACAAGATTATAGTATCTTTTTCTTGTTTGATACCATCTATTGTTATCTCACCGTCTTTGAATAAACATGCCATTAATCTACTTGATCATTAAGTAACAACCAGAATACTTCTTGTAGATCTAGTCCATAAATAGCATAATTTCCTAGGCTACATTATTATCAAACTTTTCAAATGGTCTAGCAAATAACAATTTACAAGGCCAACAGACAGCATAAACTTGATATTTTAAAATAGGTGAAGTGGTGAAGTATGTCTAGTATTGAAGGGTGTTAACTTCTGACTGGTTAGTACCTGGATATTTTACACGTCTCTTCCTAATATAGCCTTAAAACCAGATATTCTCGTCTGAAACACAAGTTAGGTTCACCGCATCAGACACTACTGAGGAGTATTAACGAAGAATAAGTAACTAAGCTCTTATGTGTTGTAATTTTTTACATTGTTGTGAATAATAGGTAACAAACATCTCTTATTGACTACAGAAGTAGAGCTATAAATAACATGTGCTTCACCACTATCCCCTGGCTACTTGATCTATAAGCTTGAGTATCAAGATGCAGTGGCGAAGGCCTTGAGATTTATTTCTATTGGCATCTCTCTGCCTCAAAATTTTGCGTAACATGGAGGCAGCCAAGGAATTGCAATCTCATTGCGGAGATGGTAACCATAAGTTCTCATCGAGTTGTTTATGAATAAATTGCTGCAATTGATAGTAGGACACACTTCATGGTAATGGTCAGCAGTAGGCTGTACGTTGTTGTCTTTGCTGAACTTGGGGTGCCTGTTGGTGACAAGCCATTATCGTAACCCGTTGGTTCTGTACCAGAGCCAGTTCCTCCACCAGGCATGTAAGGATTGACAGGGGAAGTTGTGCTGTAATAGCAATTATAAACGTATTACTTTACTGCCTTTATTGATGATGAAGTTATGAGACTGAAGTTTATTGGTACATTTACCTGGGTGGTGGTATTGGAGTTGTGGGCGTAGTTGGAGTTGTCGGCATCGTTGGAGTTGCAGGTGGTGTTGGGGTGGTAGTGGATGAAGCATAGTGGCAATTCCCACGACCTGTAGCAATGTGACAAAAGGTTCAGATTTCAGCGGTAATATCCGGTCCACTAGTGTATTACCAAACATGCCCCGATTGCTTTTCATTCAGTTTGAATTATTCATCCTTTACTTCCATTCTAATGTTTATGATGCAAACGTAAAGAATTTCAGTCAATCATGTCAATGGTCAGCACTAGCACATACTTCATAAGCACGAGGATCTGAACAGAATTTTCAAGCTCAGATAATGGAATATAATGTCTTACTTGGATCGGCGTCACTGAGTTGTGCTACTCCCCCGAAAGCACAACTGGTGGGAGCTGGGTTCTTCTGGTAGTAGCTATTGAAAGCATAAGAAGCATGGTCATGAACTGTATTCGGATCGTAGCAACTTGCACCTGATTGAATAGCCGAACAGTCCGTACCTCCATAGCCACAAGCATAATCTAGAGCAACCTGTAAAGCAGTTTCTGAAGCGGACGAACTCGCAATACACCAAGCACGGCCTGATGATGTCGGAGTAGTTGTGGTTGGTCCGGTGGTGGTTGGTGTTGTCGTGGTAGGTCCAGTGGCGGTTGGCGGAGTTATGGTAGGCCCAGTGATGGTTGGAGGTGTTATGGTGGGTCCGGTGGTGGTTGACGGCGTTATGGTTGGTGGAGTGGTGGTTGATGGCGGTGGGGTCGTTGGATTTACAATAGGAGATGTACCTGGTGTTGTTGGATTGACAATGGGGGTGTTTCCTGTAGTTGTATATCGCAGGGTGGTAGATGCTGAAGATGAAAAGATCATTTGGTTTTCTTGATAGTTGACTTTTTTGCCTTTTCTGATTGTTTCTGAGGGAGACTTCTCTGTAATGCTTGTATCTGAAGCCAAAAATCTGAGAGTTATAAGTCTGCTTCAACTTTTCTTCTTTTAAGAAAAAGAAAAAAAAAAAATACTTAAGTTTGCTTAGATTCTGTTATTTCAAATGTAATGCATATTTCTTTTTCCAGATTTTAACTGGACTGGAACGTCAGGCCACAGAAAATACAAAAACGCACTTGGAAAAGGATAAAGGAAACAGGAGAACCGTCGCATAGTTACCGGGAACGCGTATTTTTCGCTTGTAGTGATCAAGGTGGTTGAAGATGACGTTACTTTAGAGCGGATGAATATTTTGTGTTAATGTCTTGTTATCATTCATGTTTAAAAATTTGGCGCGTGACACGTTTCTGGTTAAAAAATGAATTCAGGCATGCGAGGGGTCATTGAAAATAAGTTGAAATAAATAAATTTGTTGTTCTTTATTAGTTTAGGTTTTAGACTATTTGGTTAAACAAGGGAACCAAAAAAAAAAAAAAAAAGGGAAAAAAAGGGCATTTGAGCCAATAATAATTCAAAATCAGAAGTTCAGCAAAGCATAAAATTACCCGAAATACAAAGAAAGCAGAAGAGAAAGAACGTTGTACGGGTAAGTAAATCTCCTGTGATAACTCTAGCTACTTCCATAATGAACCTTTGAAGTTTCTTCTATGCCTAGAACTTCAATATAATGAATAAGTTTTCTTAGACAGGAGAAGTAGGAATGGTTTCCCTGTGAAGAAGAGCATCGATTTTGCTGCATTGAGTTTATATACAAGTACGAAGAATCAAAGCTTTCTTGTATTGAAGAGAAAACAAAACAGAGACTGGTGCTGGGGAATAAAGAAAACTTGAGAGAGGAGGCATTTGAGTAGTTGGAAACTGCAAGCAATAAGAGGTGCCTAAATAGGGAAAAAGTTATCCGAAAAGGAAAATTAACACTTAGAGTCTGTTTGGGAGTGATTTTGAGAATTGATTTTTTGACCGTTAGGAGAAAAATTGAGTTTACTTATAAAAGAAGAAGTCAAATATGACGAATGGTTTATTGAAATAACGATCAAAAAATCAATTTTCAAGAGGAAAAAATCGCTCCCAAACAGACCCTTAAGCTTATGTGTTTCAGTTTTAAGTTTGAACGAGGAGGATAATCATCATGAAATTTGGTTTCATTTTATAATATGAATTTTAATACATACAAGTAGTTCTAGTAATGATTTATACATAGTGATGATATGAGATTTATACGATCGATCTTAAAATTATGAGAACGGAGATTAATGGTTTTTGAAGGTGGAAGGCAAAGAAAATGTCTATTTGGACTACAGAACATCCATCTAGCTAGCCCACGCTTGGCGTAGATTAAAATTGAATTTTTAGTATATTTTAATAAAAATTGATGGAATAAGCTGTTGAAGAATATCATGAAATATTGATCTGAGATTTTTATCGACTTTTAATTTACATCAAACAGAAGTAATATGACGGTGTTGTCAGATGTGGCATTCTCTTTTCTCTTCTGTGTAGCTTTTCGCTGTTACACAAGCGACAGGACTAAATCAAAAGCTAAAGGAAGGGGACAATATGAAAGAAAGATTTTATTCCTAGTACGTCTGGTGGCCTTAAAAAGTTTTTAACGTCTTACCCTTGTAACTAGGTAGTAGGCTCTTCAATCTAAAGAATTTGCATAGGTGCAAAGCTTTTGGCACACCTGAACAGATTTCGCGGAGTCGTATCGTGCTTTAAAGAAAATGACGTTTTGCCTTTAATTGTTTTTGGGGAAAATTGCAACGGCCGTCCATGATTTGTAATATTCCAAACATACGTACAATAAACGTAAGTTTTAAGATATTAGGATAACTTAAAGTGCGTTTGATTGTTTATATTTTTTATAGAAAATGTATTTTTTTCATTCAAATTACTATTTTTGTGCTGTTTGATTATCATTTTTTTTCCATGAAAAATATTTTCCCACTTTTGATCACGTGGCCATATTTTCCTCAAAATCAAGGAAAATATTTTCTTTAGGAAGAGTAGGATTTTATTTTCCACGGAATTCACTCTCTCTCTATCTCTCTTACTTATCCACTCTCTCTCATTAACCAACTAATAAAAAATAGACAAGTATAATATTTTCTAAGTTAAAAATTAAATCAATCAAACAAATTTAATTGATAATTTTCATACAAATAAATTCTAGGCAATTGAATTACCTAAAATTTATTTTCTTTCCATGAAAATTTCATACTTGCAATCAAACGCACCCTTAGTAACTTTACCATTCCTGAGATCTTGTGTTAATATTCCTAATAATTGAATTTATACGAGTTTTACACGAAATTAAATTTTAATATTATTTTTAATATCTATTAAATTATTATTGAATATCTAATATAAAAGTATTTAAATAAAATTTGAAATTTGCATATATTTGTAGTTAGAATTTTCTTAAATTCGAATTTCGTGATAAGTTTATTTGTTGAAAGATCAATCTAAATTTGAATTAAGAGTCATAATAAATTTTTAATTAGTTAATTATCCTTATCTAATCATGCCTATAAATATCATATTGTTGTTGTAATTCAATTCACACAAATTCGAAGAGGAAAAAAAGAAAAGGAGAGAGAAAGGAAAAAAGAAAAAAGGAAAAAAAAGTTTTGTGGCGTGTTCAAGACCTGTTTGCAAGAATTTTCAATCCTAAATAATTTAAGTACACAAAAAATTTAACGAATAAAGTATGAATTTCTTTAAATGTCAAGTGATTTTGTATTTTCACTTTTTTAATATTTTATAATAAAAGTATTTTATGTGTTATTATTTTATTCAAATTAAAGAAGGATTTTTTGGGTTATCATATGATATTATTATGTAATTTATGCAGAAACTAGTCATAAGACTAAATATCCTAAGTGGAAATTGAGAAATGATATGACCTAAGTAAGAATGAGATAGTCAAGTTTCTATCCTGCTATAAAATTTTGTTATGTGCGTATTTTACTTATTTTTTATAATAAATTATGAAAATATTGGGATGAAATCTATATTATGTGTATTCGTATGCTCATTCCATATTTAAAATATTTTTCGGATGCTTAATTGAGTTGAGTTGGAGGTTGAGACTACCGATAGAGTCTGTGTCGCTAAATCAAGAATTTTATTTTCTTTGAATATTTAGCATTTATTTAAAAATTATTTTACAATCAAAATTTTATTTTCAAAATCGATGAATTTATATTTCATTAATGGATTGAAATTATTTGACATATTTTGAGACAATAAAATAACTTAATTTATTCCATAAAGTTCTTCAAATTTTTTTTATATTACAATGTGTTAATCAACTTTTATAATGGTTAAATGAATTATTTGAGTAACTTTCGGGACATAAGTTTCAGGACGTTGCATGATCTTTGAGGGTCATTGCACCTTTTGTCCTTGACCTCTTATTGTAGTGTAATTTTGGCCATATTTCTTAAACATCAAATTGATGAGTGCTGATCATTTGTCAAAATCCTTTTCAATTTTACCCTCTAAAAAATAATTTTTTGAATCCAATATTTTCTTCAAAACTAACTTGTAAATAAAAAATATATTAACTAAAATTTTGGTTATAAGCAAAAAAATTAACTCAGAAACTAAAATTTTTGTTTATAAGTAAAGTATTGTTATTATTATAATATAAATAATTACTTATAAATGAAAAAATACTACTAGTAAAGAAAGAATTCACTTATAAAATATAAAAAGATGGTTTATAAGAGTGTGTGTGTGTGTGTGTATACACATAAAATTGTACAATTTATTTATAAGTAAAAAATTACTCATAACTTAAAATTTTAATTACAAGTGAATATTTCACTATAAAAAATTATAAATTTAGAAATTTACTAAGAGATATAGGGATATCAATGAATCGAGCCGAAACTCAAAATTCTTTGTGCAAGGGTGGGAGCAATTGTAAACTCAAAACTGCAAGGGTGGGAGCACGTAAATTCGTAGTTTCAACACAATTGGACAAAGTAACAACTCTACAACCATTGGGATGCAATGCATTGTGATTACACACGCCTCCGCGACCTCCTTTCTTGCAGCGGGATTGAATACGATCTGTCAATGGGCCAGATCGTTGCTTCTGAGGAATGGTGGACGAGAAAACTTCGAGTACGGCTACGATTTCTTTCATTTCATTTTTCATGTCTGCAATTTTTGGATTGAAACATTGTCCGAAGTTTATGAATTTCAGCACTGCCTTTACCCTGAAATCCTCCCCAAATGAAAATGTCGACTGGATTGCTCCAATATACCGGCCCCCTTAATGCTATAACCCAAATATTAGTACATCTCATGATGAAAATTAGTTTACGAACTTACACATGCTTTTCTCACGTATATTTGTTGCGTGACATATTGTATTTATCTTCAATCGGTGTTATGCTTCAGTGATTTGTTGAGTGCCATAGTGAGGACATATTATCGCGCACAGCACAATCGTGTTAGACAATTCCTGTTCACCAGAAATGGCCACATGTTCATGATGGAGGCCATGAGCAGGAACGATCTGATTTGCCATTAGGAGTTTCGAATGTACCCGCCAATGTTGCGACACTTTACACATGTCCTGCGAGACGAGTATGGCTTAACAAGTAGCTAGCAGGTGGATATTTATGAGAAAGTGGGCAAGTTTATGTGCAAACTTGCACATGGGAAGGGATACCGACAGGTGACAACAATCTTCAACCATTCTCTGTAAATCGTTTGTCAATTTGTTAAATAGGTGCTACATGTCGTCGTTGCACTTTTGGAACATACTATACAACCGACTCGAAACCACAATGATGGTGTCGAGCTACACAGGCTGGATCCAAACAAGCATCTGCTATTTCAGGATTTCATTGGGGCTATAGACGAAACACATGTGAGAGCTGTGCTACCGCTTCATGAGCGTGTGAACTTCTTTGGTGGGAGAGGCGTACCGACTCAAAATGTGTTGGCCGCATGTGACTTCAATTTATGTTTCACGTTCGTGCTTGCCAGGTACACCAGGAATACGCATGATGTACGTATCCTAGCGCGTGCCATATTCAGTCCGAAAATATATTTTTTGCATCTGGCACCGAGAAAGTGTTATTTGGTGGACTCCGATTTTACCCATCGATCGGGGTATATGACCCCGTATAAAGATTCAGATATACTGTACCACTTTCAATAGTCCTACAATGAACGAACAGGTCAGCGTCGTACGTTTCAGAATGCTCATGAGAGGTTCAACTTCAGACACTCTTCGTACAATAATTTCATTGAACATGCATTTGGTGTATCGAAGCAACGATGGAAATTCCTTGACCATATGCTTAGTTACTCGTTTGAAACACAAGTTGTAGTTGTCCTAGCCACAATGGGTATTCATAATTTTCTAAGTCGTGTTGGAGTTGTGGACGAGGCATTTGCTCGAGTGGAAACGGATGACGATGTAGCTGAGGTGGAGCTACCTAATGCTGAGGACGAAGTTCAGGCCGAAATGAATGCGTCGGAAATGCAACGAAGTGAGTGAGATAGACTCCTAATTACATGGCACAACAGCCGTGAGAATCGCATATCTGATTTGCATCATATACCGGGACGTGGGGGACTGATGGTGTGGTGCCCATCTTAACATTTTTCATCTTCCGGAGTATTAAAATTGCTAGGTTTGGGCATCGTTGTTGTGATGTGAGTTTTTTTTTTTTTGTGTTTGTACGGTGGGTATGGAAAAACGGAAAATGTCGCGTGCTTTTTTGTCCAAATTTGGGCGATTAATTGGTTCGTTATCGGATTA